ATAATATAACATAATATAGTATAATATAATATAATATAGTATAATATAATATAATATAGTATAATATAATATAATATAGTATAATATAATATAATATAATATAGTATAATATAATATAATATAATCGGCATCCCAGGCTGCGGGGCAAAGTCCTGGTTGGCCTTCTTCATCGGCTCCTTCAGCTGCTTGCTTCCTGGGTACTGGTACTCCAACAGCCCATCACTTGCGAATGGCGAAGAATGTTTAGGGTTTAGGGTTTAGGGTTTAGGCATCGAATTTCCGAGGCATGTTCGCTGCTCGAGGTCATACATCTTCTTGGCATCGTCATTCTCGTCTTTCTTGATGGATGCATAGTCCTCGCCCCCAGGGAAGCATCAAACAGGGAAGAGGAAAACTCGCGGGAACTAACTCAAACGGTGGATGTATCGTCATGCAACAGACTGCACGTGATCAAAAGTTGGTGGACGACCAGCAGAGATGCAATCTCTCAGGCAATCTCCGCTGGTCCGGCTGCGTCATGAAACACTGAAGTGCTCATCAGCATGCTTTCATAGTGCTCAGAACAGATGCCAACTCTGCATGCTTTGTGATGCCTCTTTCAGTCGCTTGATGGAGTCGAAGTTGGAAACTGTAATCTCTTGGTAGTACACCTGGTGGCAGGAGGACGACCAGCTTCGAGCTCACGACTGCATTCAAAGTGCTTACTGTGCCTTGATTTCCGTGAAGTCCAAATTGTTCTTCTTCATAACCTGCGACATGCACAGCCGGAAAGGGAGGCCCCAGATGGGCATCTTCCTGCCTGCTCAATCTGAGCATTTTTGGACCTGGATGAGTTTTGCAAGTGGACGTCAACACAGAAACGTCAGCCAAGACGGGATCCTCAGTCAAAAGTGATGAGGCTTGAACTCCTCGATCTTCTGTATCTGTTTGCGCCTCTGCTTCTCCTCATGTAGGTGATGGAAATTGCCGAAGTTACCGATACATGCTGCTATGTTGTAAACTAAAACCCGAAAACTGTTGTGCTTGAGGCAGCTGCCAGCAAAACCTACGAATCCAAACACATGCCAGATGAGCGTGTGATTTGCCGCTGGCTTGCGCAAAACCTACACGTGGTTTGATCCAAGCATCCATTTCTTCGCGGATGGTCTTCATCCGCAGCTCGTACTTCTGCTGCATGTCGCGGGCCTTCCGATCGAACCTGAGGCAGGAAACAGATGTGAAACACAACAGATCCGGGAAGTGATGGATATGGGATGGAAGTAGTTCGTGCTGCAAGATGCATTGACAGGGAAAGCAGAAACTACAGACTTGACCACCGAGCCAGGGCCATCACTCATGTCTGAGTTCCAAGATCTTCTGGTCCTTTGGTGCCGAGCGCGTTGCAGTCATTTCAGCTCAACTGTTGACGCCACGTCACCCGGCGCAACAAGAGGCACCCGTCCTGCTCCAACTTCAGCATACGAGTGAAGTCCTGCTGTGCCTGGCCGAAGTCATGTAGACAAGAAGTGTCCGAAGGAGACTGCTTGAAGTGACTTCCACATGTTCGTACTGAGGTGGGTGCGACTTCAGATTCTTTCTTTTCCATCTTCAGCGCCCGTTGATCCTCTGCCGACCCACGTTTTGGACACATGCGGTAATCAGGAGAGTCTTAAAAACATGCTCTGTCTGGTGTCTGACGTTGTGTTAGCATTTTGGCGAAGGTCCTTCTTGATCTCAGCCTCTGTGATTCTATGATGATCCTCCTGGAGCTTCAGAGACAGCTCGGCGTCAGTCTTCAGCTCCACTACCTGTCACAACATGACCCCAACTCGGACAGTCTTGGAGCGAAAGACCCGGGAAAAACCAGCCTCATCCTGCTGGTGATATCTTAAGTGCTTCAGCCTTTGCTGAAACATCTTCAGCCTGACAAGCACTTCTGTTGTGACACGTTCCAGCACGATTCAGACTTGCAAAGGCCATGGCTCGATCTGCTGCCGCTCTTCGAGATCTTGCAGTTCTCGCTGTTTGTTTCGGAGGTCAGCCTCCGGCGGCCATCAGAAGGTAGGCTTGCATCTGCACGCTGTGGCACATTGCGGACATCATCAAGCTGGCTGGCCTGCTTTTCTGTGAGAGTCTTCTTCTCCACGATCCAGAAGTAGTTGATTTTCTCTCTTTCCATCAGAAACTGGTGAAAGTGGTTCTCCTGGATTAGCACACGGAATCTCTTCTCCATGGTGCCATCAGAGGATTCAGGATCGCTGTAGAACCGACTCAAAGGGAATGAAGCTGGCAAAAAAAGAAAATCGAGCTGGCATGCCACGATAAGTGTTCGAGCCTTCTCCATCATGCTCGTGAGAAACTGACAATCCAAACTTACTCAGCAGGGGGAGAATAGAAACCGTGTTGTTTCTGGATTGTCGTCGGGAAATCTGCAGGAGTAAAAGAGAACTGCAAGTTGCTGCATGCAGCACCTGCGCCGCGGCGTTGTTGATGAAGTTACCCAGCATATCTTAGCCGTTCGAGTCAACTGAAGCGCATTCACCTCACGCATGCGTCGAGGCTTTCCAGAGTGCTCGCAAGGTTGATCCGCACGCCGTCGTGAAACCCAACCAGGCTCGGATAGTCTCGTAAACCCTGTATAATTACAGCTGACAGCTACTGTCCCGACGTTTCGACAGAGTCGCTCTGTCATGCATTGTCAGACGCACGCTCACGTTCTGCCAAATGAACTGTGAAGCTGCCACACGATGGTGTGATGTGCCGCTTGCTCCAGAGACTAGGCTGAGCAACCCGGGGTGTACAGCTTGCAAGCGTGTTCCACTAAACTCTGTTAAAAAAAAACGTGCGAGAGTTACTTCTTTGAATTGGTTGGGGTCTGCAGTTCCGACTGACGACTGTCACTCTCGCGATGGCGTTGCCAAAAGACTCTGAAGTTTGTCGTGCGCAACCTTTGAGGATGCGGCTCCCTTCGTGCTGAAGCGCAAGAAAACTGCGAGCGGTGTTCACTTGATTCTCTGTTTTCTTCGGGAATGTGGCGCACCCCAGTTCCAGGGAAGGAAGCACACGGATCTCCTCACGCTCACAATTTTCTCGCAGGCGTTTGGCTTCCCTTATCATCTCCATCCTCGGTCAGAGACTTCTCATGGGTCCACGGGATGCTAGTGAGCTTTGCCTAAACTCCTGAGCCGGGCCACCGCTTCTTTTCTTCATTTTCTGCTGCTGCTTGCCGGGCTGCGGCCTGGCAAGGCTTGGGCCGGCTGCTGCCGCCTGGACCAGAAGACTCTCCGAGCCTCGGGATCCAGCGCCTTCTTCTTACCTCCTTTCTTCCCCATTGCTCTCAGGGGCTCCTGAACTGCAAGATACTGCAAAGCTTCTGGATCCAAAGCAAGGTATGACATCATATGACATCATGGAAAGTAACCGGCCTGAGAGAACAAGCAGGATCGCTGCCCTCTCTACAGCTGAGCCGAACAAGAATCATCCGGATGAAGCGCGACTTAGACATACTTGGACGGTACCAGAAGCATGAAAGGAGGAGAGCCTGAAGCACTGCTCAGTACACTTTTGCTGTCTGGACCGAGGCATGCCGTGCTTCGGCTCAATCGTCGCGGCCATGGTCTGTCTTGCTGTGACAGAGTCGTGCTCTCTCGGCTCAATGCATCGGACAGGTGCTCGGAAAGGATTGGATTCCGAGACTCTCCCGCGGACGCTCTCGGAGTCGTCTGTTGAGACGGTCTTCCGTGGTCTCGTTCCGCCAGCTTTCGCTTGACGAACGGAAGATGAAGGCGATCTTCGGGCACAGCAGGCTCTTGCAAGCATGAGCAGACTATCTGAAGTAGCCAACAGAGGATGGCATCAGCGACTCGGGATCCATGCCTCACACCCGAGAGACTGAAAAGTCTGGGTCTAGGAGTGAGGGGTTGCTAAGACTCGCACGGATGGGTGGCCCTCGTGTCCCTAGTCGAAGATATGCTTCTTGAAAGTAAAGGTCCTGATGCATGGCTTGGCTGCGGCTCACAAAGCTCAAAAGCAAGGGTCTGCCAGACCTTGCTCTCGCTGGGACTAGGACCTCGGGCTGAGACTAAACGTTCAGGACTGGGTATCTCAGATCTGCCAGGGCCACGAGACCCTGACCTTTTCCTTTGATCAAGGGAGTGCCAGGCGGCTTGCGCATCGCATCGCTTTGCTCACCTCCGTGCACGTGCCGCTCTGACGCAGGCGCCAGGGCTTCAAAGACTCCAGGCAGGGCCCTGGGCCTGTTGTCGATGACCGGGGTCGGGCTCTCAGGAGAGTCTGCACCTTGCACTGGCGACTTGGCGACGCACATCCCTTGCACTGCCTGCAGATCAGTCAGCGTAGCACGAGAAATTTCAGGTTCTCCAAAATCTTGGCATCGGAGAAATTGGTGTCAGCAATGGTTGCCTCGTGCAGGCACTCTGGATGCAGCCTTATCAGGCCGATTTTTAAAGCAGTGCTCGGAGCACCTTCACCTCGCCCTCGCCCTCTGCACGGTACTCCAACAGCGTCCCACCCTTGGCCTCTGCACTGCAGCCAGCTAAACGAGGGCTCTCCAACTCCGCTGACCGCTGACTGCCGACTCCGCTGAAACCGAAACCCCGTTTCCAAGCTCAGTTCTGCGGGTGAGCTTTCAATGTTCCAAGGGTCACAGAAAGCTAGCATCATCGGCATCACTGTCTCTTCGTTTGTTTCTCTCCGCACTCCGGCGGCGAGGGTGTGCGCGGAGCCCTAAACCCTAAATGGCAGCTTGCAACACGCACCGCACCCACTGCACCCGTTTGCATATTTGGAGACTCACCTGGTCCTTCGCCAGCTAGGGGTACCAGTCAACGATGATGCTTTTGGTGCTACCCCGGAGCCCCCAAGCATCATCAGCATCACGGGGTCACCGTTTTGTCGTCTGCGTGCTGGGCTGCGAAGCGGCAGCGAGACGTTGGCATGATGTTGGGTTTGAACAACTTGTTGGAGGCGTCGCTAGTAGCTTTTCCGCCGGGTTCATCTGGACACTCGGTCCGTGGCGACAAATCTGGTGTGGCGCAGCCAGCGATCCTCATGCTCAAGGATCACCGCTGCTTGTCATCTGTGGGCCGGGGTGGTGGCTGAGGCAGCATCATCGGCAGCATTGCCCACCGATAGGGGGTGACAAGTATAAATGAGCATTTTTTCATTGCAATTACTGCGCCTAGCGCGGTGTGAGGGTTGGAACCTAGGCTTTCCTGCATCCTAGCCGCCACCTGTCAATAACCCTTTAAAAAGAGAGCTGGGCTTGAACTTACATCTGCACCCTCTGCACCTCCAGCTGGCAGCATCGTAGAAATGAGCAGTGCCATGAGATCAAAATCGCGTTTGCGAAGCTGTTAGGTCGTGAATACTGTGGGAGCCCTTGCATGCTTCGACGGCATCGGTGCTAAAAGGTTGTGCAACTTGCGTGAGCCCAAGAGTACGCAAGGCTCTCGAACAGCTTTCAAGCTCCGAATCGCGAGGCGCGGGATTTGGTCGTGGGTCGCTGTTCAACTGTTGCACAGATCTCTGTCAAAAGGCTTCTTGCTGAGAATGCTTCAGGTTGCAATTACCATCGTTGCCCTTGCCACAGTCTGCCTCTTTGATGGCGGCCTTCAGGTTTGTGACCACCGAGCCACTCTTTGGATTGGGGATCAGCTTCCTGCAACAGACACATTCTGTGAAGTCAAAGAGAGCAAGACGTCTTCAGCAGTTCGGCACGGCCTGGGTCCTAGGATCTTGGCCACCGAAAGAACTCGCGGCCTGGGCAAGCAGGAGCTACAAATGAGCAGATCAATGCTTCATTGGTGCCACACATAATGCTCGGGGTTGCCAAGCAACGGTCAAAGCCCAGCCAACCTGCTGCGTTGCACTTCCATCTTCAGACCTTTCCAAAGCGACGGCCTTGCCTTGGTTGATTCTTCTGAGCGGCTCCGTGATACCTCCGGCTGGCCACTTTCAGCTGCTCACTGTCGGCGGTGATTACGTCTTCAAGGTGGATCGGAATCGTTGCAATTGCTATTGCGGAGTTGTTACCGATCTCTTGGACCTGAAACAGCAAGCCACCTGTTTCGTGAGCCGCACATAAGCCCCGGCATGTCTGGATATGAGCAGCCAGGTAATAGTATGGACTGGTAAGATTGATGTTGTGAGTTTCAGAAGGTGCAGCTTCTTCCGTCGTCTTTCTTGCCAGACCTTCGGGCCTCGGGCGGCTGGTTCTTCTGTGGAGTTGGAATGCTGATCCCAGCTTAAACCTAGGACTTCGAGAATGGACGGGAAAAAACCGTCGGTTTCGCATACGATGCTGCACTCCCCCACCAGCAGAAATCGAGAAGCAGGAGGCTGCCTGCAAAATCCGCCCCAGCTGCGAGCATCTCCTGGAAATTGCAGCTGGAATGGCTGGACTTGACCTGCTGGACTGACCTCCACCTGTCCTCAACTTGATCGTCGGGACAGAATGCCAGGACTCTTACGTCGCGGCTGAGGCCATGTGGTCTTAGAATTCGGAAGTCGGTTACTCCACGAAACCGCATACTGATACAGAGATGTTCATGCAGCTGTTTCAAGGCTCCGGCAGGTGGCAGGTGCCACGAACACTTTCACCTGGCCAGTCGTTTCGGGAAGCCCAGCGCTCTTACACAGCCTGTCTGAATGTGCCGAGGAGACGAGTCAAATCGACCTGAAGCCTGGCAAAGCCGAGGCTGAGAGTCTTCGTGATTGGCACTGGAGCCTAGGCCCAGCCTGGTCCAAAATGTGACCAAGGAGTCCTGTTCTGGGAAGACATCGAAAGCGCGCATCAACCGGGTTGCCTCCCAAAGCAAAGGCTCTGACGCCAAGAAATGCTAGCGTACCCAGGCGAGCCTGAAACGGGCTTGTGCCGACCTGAGTCTGACACTTGCCGGGAGCTCGTGGCAGTATGCATTATATATATATATATATATGCATGTATATAGATAGATAGATAGATAGATAGATAGATATATACATATATATATATATACAGTATACATAATAGAAGATCAGGCAGTATGATTTTTAGGTGGATTTGTTGAAAACATGCGTCCCCCCTGCCCTTTGGTGTAAGCCCTCTGTTTCGAAGTGGCGGAAGAGGCTGCATGGTCAACTTTACAAACTGGATGTCCTGTGGCAACATGCCCGGACACTGTTGTCAGTTGTGGAAGGCGATAGCTAGCCGGAGAGAAGCGTGCTTGCAGTCACCGGTTTTCATCTTCTACAACACACTCCTGCTTCAGCATCACTGGCACTGAGTTCTGCCTCCTCTCGAGATGCATCCAATGAAGCACCGCTGAAATGGCAAGTCGGGGTGAACTCCAAAGCGCGTGCGACGTGAAGGAAGGACTGAACATCCGGGAAATTCATCAAAGTCGTTTCTCCTTCTTGCAGAAAAGTGACATGGAACAACAAATTTCCTAGTGCCTTTTTGTGCTCTTGGTCGACTCTGTGCGGCTACCTGATCCGAGTGTCGGAAGAGTAGAGTTGCTCCATGGTCCTTCGTTTTCAAAGTCACGGTTGGTTCCCCAGCATCATTTCATGCAGCCGAGCGTGAGCGTGACAACAATCCGATGACAGGATTCTTGCAGCTTTTTGTGTGGGACCATGTGACACCAGCTAACATCACAAATTCGAACACGTGTAGGTACGACCGCATCCATGCTGCAACCGCTTTGGGCCGACACCCGAATCTCAGTTGCCTTCCGCACGGTGGTCCCTTCGGATGAAGCCGCCTCTTCAGCTGCGACCTTGGTCCCGCAGCCAGCGCAGCACGGATCTCGAACCCCGCAGCGGCCTTGGCATCGTCCGCCTCCTTCTGCCGAATCTCGCGCAAGCGGTTTGCACGGTACCTGCATCAGAATACTTCCGTCTGCCCCTCGTCTGCCTTCCGGATGCTGTGCCATAAAGTCTGAGAGTTCCCTCGACGTGCTCTCGTCAAGTCAGCAAGAATATTCCCCGTAGCAACAGACGTGGCGCACATGGAATGGAAGGGCTTCCATTTCTTGGTCCGCACCTGGCCCAGTGAAAGTTTGCAGAAATCTCAAATCGGGTCTCCAAGGTCACGGCAGAGCCGACGGCGACCGAAGGCAAGCCTCCGAGGCACCTGGGCTCGAAGGCTCCACGGGCTGCGGGTTCTCCTGCTTTCCTCGTTGTTTTCATCTTGGCTTCCAACTTCCAAGGACTGACGAAAGGCGCTCTGACGAGCTGCTGCTTCAGGCACTGCATTCCACCTGTCACAAGCGGCTGAAGATGCTGGAAGAATCTCGAAGGCCTGCTTCGTTCATCCGACCCTCAGGCGCTCCGAGGAGGGGAGTCGGACAGAGCCCGCAAGACTCTTGAGAACTGCATAGGGCTGCGGGGCTGGACCTGGGACCTTCGGGAACCACGCCGGCAAACATCAGGCCGGCAGCTTTTTTGGACCACTCCGAAGTCCGAGTCACAGAGGGTGGCAGTTCCGCAGCTGCTTCGCAGGCCGGGGTTCAACGAACTTTGGGACATGAAGTTGCATGTGCCCATTGGGCATTAACACTTGGCTCTCAACGCGGCTTGGCAGCTCTAAGCCTCTGCGGCTCCAGGCTTTGTGGAGCCAGGGAGACTCAGGAGACGGCACTCCCGCTCATCGGTGTGCGAAGTCTAGAGACTTCTTGAAGCACCTGGGTCACCAAATCGAGGGAGGTCTCAATGCTTCTGCATTGCCAGGAACCCTTGCTACCATAGTAATCGTGCAAAGAAGACAAGCTTCCACTTCAGCATTGGTGTTCTTCTGCTCGCACGATCCCATGTCTGCTCTACATTGCAAATATGCGGAATTGAATTGACCGAAAGGTCCTATGACCAACCAGAATGCCGAGCATGAAGCTGCAGTCTGAATCTCCTGCCGTAGGACCCGGGACCTGTGCACAGGAAGGTGCGGCCTTGCGAAGCCCGTAAACAAGTCTAAACACACTCAGAATCTTGGCGCTTGACTGACTGGAGGCCCGCGTGAGGTTGGATCTACTCCCAGTGGAACGAGGCAAGGATGCCACAGATCTTTCGGATGCGCGTGATGCACCGGTCGCCTCCGCACAGTGAAATTTGATACCTAAACCCTAAACCCTAAAAACCCTATCACTGCGCACTCGTCCGAAAACTTTGAGTGTCGCACCGGAGGCAGCTGTGATCTGAAACTTGCCTGGCTGCACTGGTGGTACACTCAACATCTCAGATGTGCCAGTCGTACAGCGCCTCCGATCCTTGAGACGGAGGTAGTGTCGAAACAGAAACAGCATCTTCTGCAGGTGGCTCCCTAGGCACCAGGACCGGATCCCTCTTCAGGAATGCAGCCCTGAATCACAGTCTGAGGCCGGGTCCCAGGTGCCCGCTTTTCAGCCGCGCCACCGATGGTGCCATGGCAGAAGTTGCCTGGTCCCTGGCCGAGGCCTCGACTTCACTCAATTAGGGTTTAGGGGTTTAGGGGTTTAGGGTTTAGGGCTCAGGGTTCTTAGGACCCTATGATGGCTCTGGACAGGAGGTGGCCTGCAGCACCCACGAGGGAGGGAGCGAAGGTGGAGAAGACCCGCTCCGGCGGCTTCATGACTGGCGAGAGAATGCGAGTCATCGAAGCAGAGAGCCACTGGGCTCCAAGTGCCATGGCTTTTTTTGGGCCTGGAGGCAGCGACTGCATCCGCACTGGCTTGTGGTAGGGCGGCTTCACATTCGACTTCCACGAGTGCGAGCGAAACGTCTCCTGCCGAGAGGCAAGCTTGCCAACTTGAGTCACGAAACCATAGCACGCAGCATTCCCGAGCTCCGACATCTTCTCAATCGTTGTTCCTGAGATGTCGGAAAAATCCACAAGCGCTGGCTGACTGTGAAGCTCAGACCGCTGCCATAATAGTGGGCCAAGGCTTCCGCCTCGGCCTGCATCGGAAACCGCAAAAGAGTTGAGACGCAACCTACAAGCAAATAGATGTTCAATCTTGCTAAAGGACATGTACCACTGCAGGATCCAACTGACCCGTGCCTTCTGCTCTTTCAAGATCTGCTCCTGTCGCTGAGCAGCCATTGGATTTGCCGTCGCGCCTCATTTACAGGGACGCTTCTCGATTCAAATTGCAGTACCGCTGCAGGCATTCAGGTGCCGACCCATGTCTACACCTAAGCTCGCAAGGAGTGCCATGAAACTCGCATGAAAATCAAGGGCTGCGACGAGTCCGGATCATGCTTCAAAACGAAGCAGATGGACCACACTTTGCTACTCTCGAGCTCCCGCCGGTGCACCGCCTTGAGCCTGTGCTGGCTTCATCAAGCACTGATCTTGCTGTTGAAACGGACATCGGAAAGATAAGGAGTCAAGCCAACTGGTCTCTCTCTACTCCTGACTCGGCTGTGCGGTGCAGAAAACGCTTTGGGTGAGACGGTGCAGCGAAGCCATGTGTTCGGAAGCAAGACTGAGCAGAAGCTTTCTTTGCCAGAAAAGAACAGGACAAGAAGCAGAACAAACTGTGCTGGCTTCTGCAGCACTGGAAGTAGTAAGCAGCCGAAGAGCAGGGTGTTTTACCCTGCCGGAGCTGGGTTCAGCAACCAGGCACTCGCCACCTGCACTATCTTCCCCGAAAGACGTCTGTGGCTGACACATGGCTTACGCAGCTACGGACACGCCGGTCCATCTTCCGCATACGGTTTTCCGCACCTCCCGCAGGGATGCGCTGGCGGCGCCCAGCGCATCTCCGAGGCTGCCGTCTCCTGAGCGGAGCGGAGGAGCGAGGGGGATTTTTGCTGAGGCTCCCCATCTTGGCTCAGTGCCGTCCGCTCCGACACGGGGCGCTGCGTGCGAGCCTCGGTGCATAGCAACGCTTGCAACCAGAGGGGAGAGAAAGAGAGAGCGAGAGAGATACCGAGTTCAGCTTGGACTATATTTCTCTGAGCCCCTGTCTGCGAAGCGTAGTCATCAGCTCACGCCGCCGACCTTCAAGCAAGAGCTGTCACCCGCTTTCTCTCTCTCGTAGTTGCACAGCGCTTTTGTGTGAAGGCTGCGGTCTTGGATTCATCATGTGATGCCATCTCGGATCGCGGCGTCACGTATACGACCCTGACCGACCCTCAAGCAGACGTCAAGCGATCGAATTTTACGGTCGGATCTGTCATCGGCTCAAGCGGCCGATGGTGCGACAGACAGACTTGCGTTTGGCGAAGGCCGACCTCTACGCACTTATTGGACGTTTCCTGCCATCTGTCCACATTCGTGCAACCCTCCCGCCCCATCCGGATTTCCGATGATGCTCCCCTTTCATGAGGCAGGGCAACTGGGGTTGAGCCCATGGCCTGCGAGCAACTTTCCCAGATCAGCAGAGGCTCTGCCGCCACCGCTGCTTTCGATAAGCTCCTAAAGCAAGGCAGAGCGTGGAAAGGGTGGACAGGAAGGCTTTCGATGTCTTCACGGGCTGGGCCTTGACGAGCCTCCGAAGCTCCAGGTCCACTTCATGCCAGCTGAAGACCTCTACAGGAGCACTCCGGAAAAAACGAAAGTCTCGGGCCGTATCTTCGCATCGAAGCCTCCACATCCTCCGGGCCCTGAACTGAGCCTACAGTAATGCAGAAGACCAGATGTGACCAACGAACGGATCAAAGACACTGTTGGTGCATCTTGGTTCCGAGCCCATTGGAGGCTCAGCTTTGACACCTTCCGAAAGCCAAGACCATTCGACGTCCTGCCTACTCGACCTTGGCACCACCTTGTGGATCAGAAATGCCTCGTGGCGCCCTTCTTCGCTTGCCTGCAGCGATGTCGGCGGATGCACAGGCAGGCGACTCCGCCGACTCATATGCTGACAGTAGCCCGCAATGCTGTGCAAGAGTGTAAGGAGCATACCGACTAGCGAGAAGATGCGGTCGACGATTTTGCGCCCGACCTTGCTGTTAATGACCTCCAGGCAGTCATCACACCGTAGCACCGTAGGATGCACAGGGCACGGCTCACAAACCTCTGGATGCCACTGGAGTCCATAGACATGATCCTCCACGTGCTCCATCGCCATCACCTCGACTCAGGGAAGGTCAGAAGAAATCGTCGTGATAAAGCTGTCAAGACTACACAGAACGATTTCTGGGTTGCCGAAATGCCTAGACTCAATCTGGCTTCGGGCAGTCTGAGCCGGCGACTCTGTTGGCAGAGTCTACGGCCGTCCTTGGTGCTCGCCGGTACTCGCCTAGCCTTGCAGAAAACCTGCTATTGAAGATGCGCCCAGAACATGCTGCCTACATTTCCCTACGACGGCGTTTACATAAACCATTTTGCCAACGACTCCTCGAGCCTCGCGAGATCTGAGCTCCTTATCGGGGTCCTTGAGTCTTCGAGTTGATCTTCGAGGTGGAGGTTCGGATCGCAGTTGACAACTTCACGATTTCAACGATGTAATGTGGATACTCGCTGGTGTCGCGCTGCCATTGCCATTGTTCGAAATCGATACTGTTTCACTACAGTCACTACAACAATGACAGCTATGCTTGGCTTCATGAAGCGAAGCCTTACTCTCACCGTTGCTTCCGCCAGTGATAATATAATGATACAGGTGATGCTGGACTACAAGATCTTATTGACATGAAGCGTCTGTTGTTATGGTTCGCACGCAGTCCGGATATTTCGATTTTGCAGTTGCAGTTTTCGTCGTTGGATGCTGCCTTCTTGTTGCCTTGTTGCCATGTTTTTTTGCGATCATTCTGTTGAGTTTCATCCACACACCTAAGCCCCCGAACAGGTGGTCCTGCTTTGCGGTTCCTCCTTGACTAGAAACAGTATCGCACGGAATGCCACGGACACCTGTGCCAATGCAAACTGCCAGAAGCTTGGCAGCGAGCACAGAAAAGTCTGGTGGTAGCTCATCCACAAAGATGAAGTTTGATGCCTGTCCCATGCTGCAAAGGGCCGGGGCAGCCGGTGACTGTCACAACGGGCGCCCCACCCACTGGGGGAACTTCGAGGAAAGGCCATCTAACCTGGCCATACCAAAATTGAAATCTACATGGTGTGCTTCGGAGTCCACTTAACAATCTCCAGAGCAAAGCTCTTCTTTTCAACCCGCCCGTCGCGTCGTTAACCTCCGCTGCATGTTGCATGCTAGTGGAGCCTCACGAAGATCTTGCAGAGTGGTTGTGTTAGATTGTGCTTCCTTCCGGACAAATTAGCCCAGGCGCATCACCGAAGTCCGAGGCAGAAAGCCGATTCCCGTCAGGATCAACACGGCTTTGACTGGCCGGCCGCCAGCATTCCATCGTCTTCCGGTTGCATTTGAGGGGCCCCGTGTCCGCACGGTGTATCACCGTGTCGTCGCTATGCAGATCATCTCAACGGAGACTTCCGCCTCCAGTCGTCCGCGACCTTCTTCGTAGAGAACCCATGACGAATCTGGGCAGTCGTGGAAGGTGCGCATCAGCGGATAGCGAACGGCCCTCAGCAGCTTCGACAGACTTCGCGGATTCGCGTGCTGTGAAGCACGTTGGCTCCTGCAAGCACTGACCGAAGCCTTACAGTTACAAACCACTCAAGCGGCCCAATCGAAAGCATGACAGGAAGTGCTGTATGGTTCGGATACTCGTTTGCGGCACTTGCTTCAGGTTCGGTCTGGCCTTGAATCTCCGCCAAGTGCAACAACCGCTGCATCGGGAGTGGATGCTGCATCCTGTCACATCACCGAAGCAGGGAGTTATGAGGCTCTAGCAACAGTCGCGAGGTGGCCTTTCACAGGCGATGGCGCAGGAGTTGAGCTCAACCGGCCTGACTGCTCAAGTATCCTAAAGAGTTCTGGAAGCAGGAGGCAAAGCTCTGCAAAGCAGAGGTCGAAGGTCTTCCAACATCCGGACAAGGCTCATCCATGCAGCAGGGTTGCCAAACAGCAGTGCCAGAGCACCTGTGCAAAACTGCTTGGAAGAAACCGAAGATCGTACTGACGGAAGCAACGCCACAGAGGGCACACAAAAAATATCAAAAATGCTTCCTGTGGCTGTGGAAGTTGCCGGTCCAGCTTTTGGCGGCACACCCTGCCACAGCAACACGGCAGCTTACCTAAGTAGCCGGGGTGTCTGTTCTGATAACAAACTACATTTCCTTGAACCGAGTTGGCCAATCTGCTGTGGGTTGTCGTTGTTCTCTCCCTGCTACTCGCAGAATTGAAAGCACGACCTCGGCCTCTGCTTAACCTTCCTTTGACATCGTTTCCAAACGATCACAAACTGCTCCAGATTGGTTGCTTGGTTTTTGAATGCCATGCTAAACACGCAAAACAATGCTAAAATTTGCAGACATCGGACCTCCGACAGAGCCAGACTGCAGAAAGCCATCTCGGCTAGCATGGATAGAGCCTGGATCCAGCCCCAGCGCTGTGCGGTTGAAGCCGTGACCAGCATCGCATTGCCGCCGACAATGTCCAACTTTAGGTTGGAGCACCGAAGGCTTTTGACTGCATCAATCGAGCTTTGCCAGGCACCGGTGCGGCCTTCCATGGGCTCTGCAACCTGACTCCCGCGAAACGAAAGCTGCCATTGTCACAGTCTGCTTCAAGCACGCGGCGCTCGACGAGCGGAGCAGGGAACTGGCGGCGAAGGAGCCGACCTCCACGGTGCGGGTCCTACAAGCAGTTCATCTACGGAGCTGGCGCAATGAAGAACATGTATGTATGTGTATCGAGTACATGCATGCATGCGAAGATAGATACGCAAGTAAGGATGCGTTCGTGATTTGCAAAGCCTGCAGCGCTAGAGGGTCTTTGTAGGGGAACCTCGTTTCATTTTAAGCTCTACGTCTTAGCAGTAAGTGTGAGGCAGAAGCCACGCCGAAAACAGGAGTGGTTTGTTCGCAACACCTGAACTCACAAAGTGGAGTCAACTGCTTCACAGCACCATCAACCAGACAGGGCATGATAGGTGGCAAACCCAAACCCTTTCAGTGAGTGTTGCGGAACACCTCATCAAACCCTAAAAATGTTGATTGATTCTTAAACTCCCCTGCCAAATCTGCTGGAAGATTACGGGTGGCACTCCCCCTAACACCACAAGGTGACTGGGTCCCCGAAGCCCACAACCTCTAAGAAGAGAATATGGGTGGCGAACCTTCAATTTCTGACTGCCTCCCAAAAACCCAAACCCAAAAGGAGGTGACGGTTGGCAAGACCAAGACTGAAAAGAAGTGAACGCTGGCAAAAAATGCCTAAGCCGCGAGATGATGGGTAGCCAGACCGAAACCCAAAAAAGGAGTGAGCGGCTCGGACGACATTTTCTCCCCAAAGCAGCGACTGGTTACCAAATAACCAAACCCTAATTGGAGATCTTGGATCTAAAGTCAACAGCCTTTAAAGAAACGAATGAAAGTGTGCTTGGGTCCCTAAATCCCCAGCCATGGAAGGCTAGTTTGGGCGGCACACCCAAGACCCCAAAAGGAGATGATAGGCGGGTGCTGATTTTGAGTTTGGCATTTTCGGGACCGAGTCACACCGTTTTGCTGCAAGCCTTTTCCGTCCGCATTGCTAGGAGTTCAGAACTTCCATTGGACGTCACTGCTCTCACTTGCCACTCTGCAGCCTTTGTCGCCCGTGTTCACCCATGTCCTCTCTTGTCATGACTCTGGTTCTCGTTCATCGATTCCCGCTCGATGGGTCCATCGAGCCGCCCTCACTCTCGTCACTCTCCAAAACAGCCACCCCTGGCAAACTCAGCAGAGTCACCCCGTTTAGGGTTTAGGGTTTGCCAGCCGTGGTCTTGCATTAAGGGTTCACAGAGTTTAGGGTTTGGCTCATTTCCCATTCTTGGACTCTAAACCCAAATCCTCTCAACTAAATCCCTCGCGGCTTTGCAAGAGCAACAACAACAACCTGTGGTCAGAAGAAGATGATGGGCAGCCAACCCGAACCCGCCAACAGCAGCTGATGGAACCTAAACCCCAGACCCCAGCAGAAGATTCTGGAAGCGAATCCAAAATCTCACCAAGGGGATATAATCTGCAAACCCCCAGACCTTCAAATCCCAGAAGCCCGAACATGACAAGCGGCAACCTCCTAACCCTGGAACGATATTATGGGCACCAAACGAGAGGACGGATTGCAACCCTTAGCCTTGAGTCAACGGAAAACCTAAACCCACAAAACGACGGAGCGGATTGCATCCCTGCGCGCTAAATCGATGGCACAGCGTGAACCGCAAAACGACATGGCAGATTGCAACCCTTAGCCCTAAATCGATGGCAAAGCTTGAACCGTAAAACGACATAGGTGATTGCAACCCTAAACCCTAAATCGATGGCAACGCTTGAACCGCAAAACGACATGGCAGATTGCAACCCTTAAGGCCTAAATCGCTGGCAAAGCTTCAACCGCAAAACGACATGGCAGCTTGCAACCCTAAACCCTTTTTCGATGGCAAAGCTTGAACCACACAACGAGGTGGCAGATTGCAACCAAAGCCCTAAATCGATCAAAAAGCTTCAACCGCAAATCGACATGGCAGATTGGAACGATTGCAACTCAAATTCTTAATCGATGGCAAAGGCTGAACCGTAAACGAAATGGGTGATTGCAACCCTAAACCCTAGATCGATGGCACAGCGTGAACCGCGAAACGAGATGCCAGATTGCAACCCT